GACTTGCAGCATGTTTGGCCCCAGGCACCCTGTTCACTGCCAAAACATGCAGCAGTGCAGACTGCGAAATCTGAGCTTAAAACAGGTAATAGACCGAGGTTTCAGACCCGGCTGGATGCCACCCTGTGCCACATGCTGTGGGTATCCCTGCTGGAGCAGCGGGTTGGACTTGATGAACCCTAGAGGTTCCTTCCAACCTCAACCGTTCTGGGATTCCAGACCCCTGGCACTAGGAGGTCTACTAGAATTCTCCTTGCACTCTTGAGGCTGTGACAGCCCTGGGAGATCTTTCTTACCAACTATCTTGTTTCACAATTGGTAATGACACCTTAACAGCTGAAAAGATGATGAAGCTTCCCCAGAAATCCCCAAAGCAAATGAACGTGCTATTTGTTGGCACTGATTTCCAAGAAAGTCCATTTCTCAGCCCAAGGATTAACCACCTCATCCTCACTGTTAAGAGGGATTCAAAAAACAACCCAAATATTACTATCATTTTATAACTTTCATCCATGACAGTACAAAAAAAAAAAAAAAAAAAAAAAAAAAAAAAAAAAAAAAAAAAAAAAAAAAAAAAAAAAAAAAAAAAGCCATGGACTGTCCCAATATTGTTGGCTAATGAAATAAAAGCAGCTTTACGGGTTTGAGACTTTTAGAATAATCTACTGCCTTCACATCATTAAATCTTTGGTTTATTAAGGATTGCCAAACAGCTTTTGAGATTCTCCTAAACTGAAATGTACACAGCGTACCATGAACCCCAAGGGAACCAGGGGATAATATATAACTCTATATATAAATGGTACACTAAGTACATATATATATAAAACAGAAATCAGTGATAAGCTCATTGCTAGAATGCATTGGAGTGAGGTTTTGCACTGAGCGCACATCTTTTGGAGACAGCAATACAACCTCTTACCACCAAGATCTACTATTTTGCCATTTTGAAGTCAAGAGTCATTTTTGGCACTAGCTAAAATCAGAAAGCTTTTTTAACTTCAGATAAAAGTTCTGCTACGTGCATTTGCTCACAGAAAATTCACAACTCTCAGAATAAAGGAGTAAATAACAAAACATATACTTTATTTCCAGATATACACTGTGGAAAGTAGAAACATATCCTTCCTGTAAACTACACAATATTATATAGCTTTGAAGGAAGGTCAGGTAGAAAATTTTATTTCAGGCTTGTCTGTACCAGGAGTGAACAGCACAATTTGTCCAGCATTCCTTATTTTGAAGTTAAAGAAAGCCCTGACTCATTGCCTTATAGGACATTCTAGTACAAAGAGGATCAGCTTTTCTCCCTCACCTTGCGAGGCATTTCTGTATTTGTGAATGCATCCTACTTCCAACAGCCTTATATACCCAAAATACAGATTGTTTCATTCCACTGGTGACGTTTGAAAGGGCAGACACTGAACCTCAGGCTAATTCCAATAGCATTTGTATCTTGTGTATCGGGTGTATCATGTCATACCTGGGCCTCTTCTGCACTGAAAAGAGCAGCAATAATTCAGAACTTCAATTCTGCCCTGCATCTGGCAATAAGGAAGCAAAAACACTGTGTTAGTTTAGCATTAAAACAGATTATTTGACTTTAATAAACACCTTACTGATTACAAAATGACTTCTTCAGTTTCTTCAAATTTGGTCTTTGCTCTATAAAGATAAAAGAAAAAGAATTAATTGCAGTACTTATTTCCCTTTTATGTTACCTTTGAATAGCAAAAAAAAAAAGGAGGGGGGAAGTCTTTGATCTTTGAGAACCAGTCGATTTTACAACAATAAAAATTTGATTTGATAAAACAGTTAAATTTTTGACTTTGTAAAGCCATATTCACACAGTTACAAAGACAAGACCTTAAAATATTTTAAAGCCCTCTGGATTATTTGTCACTGTGACTGATGGGGGGAAGGAGATGAGACATCTCAGATGTACTAAATATGCCCAGTCCGATTCAAACCTGAGGACATAAGAAAAGGACTTACCATACATTCAAGATCTACCTGCAGATATGAAAGCATTTACACAGACAAGAAAACAAAAGTTCTCATACTGCAGGGAAGCAGTCGTCATCTTTTTTAGGTATCACAAACATCGACACTTGAAGCCAAAGTCTGTGTTTCTACTAAGAACCAGACATAAATGCTCAACCCTAACTCCTTGCGCACAAGATTTAAGTTCATCTGTTGACCAGAAAAAAGGCTACCAGAATAATCAGTAATTTATGAGTTGGTCACCAGACTTTAGGTATTAACTGCTTCATAATATATTAGCAGCAGGTACAAACAGTTCTTACACTTCTGCAGCAATGTCCTGTTATATCCATCCATAGTCTTAGAGTAACCTTCTGCCTTCTAAGAATGTCCCTTTTGAGGAACTAAACAGAAGGGTTCCATGGAGAATTCTTATTCTTACTCCATGACAATATAAACCCTTAGAGTAGGAGGTAAGACTAAGTTATGAATGATGTGTTGGAAAAAGTCACTTTTTCTAAAGTCCACCTTGAGGTTAGCCATACACTTTGAAACGATTAAACATAAATACAACAGAAACACTAATTTACACCAATATAGCAAGAGTTGAAAAACAACATTGGACACAGCCTTCTCAAAACATTTGCAAATACACAGGAGATTTATTCTCTACAGAGCACAAGTTTTGCATTTAAAACAAAGCAACTGGCAACACAACAAAAGATGGGTCCAGCATTTGAGCACATGGGTGATCCATCAGGGCAGCTGCAGCACTGCAGAGTGGTTTCAAACGCCGATTCCGTCCTTACAGTGCCAGATGTTCCTCTGTAGCCTCCTCAGGCTTCCAGGTGCAAGGGAGAGTTAAATAGAAATGGTTCTACAAAGGTAAACTGCAAAATTAAACAGTCCTTTTAGTAAGTTTGGGTTTTGTTTCCTCCCCAAATCAACACACCAGTTTTATGATTTCCTTTTCCCTCCACAAGTGCTATCAGAGCTGGAAGCTCTGAACTAGTCACTGGGAGATGGTCTTACCCACTCAGAGAACAGACATCCCTTATGGGATGACGAAGATGCACCTCACTGAACGGGCTGAAGAAACCGTAAGGGCATCTACGAAGGAAGCTCTACCCAAACACTAATTCTCTACTTAAGGACAAAAAAAACTCTCTGGCTACTGAAACAGAACATGGCATATGACCTAATTCCACCGTTTTCTCCCCAAAAGCAAGATCTAGGCTACTGTGAAGATTCCCCTTTACTCCTCCCTTCCCTCTTGCTGCAAATCCCAGGGAAAGGGAGAGCTGCTGAGCACCTGGGAGCAGCGAGACCCAGCTTTGGGCACAAGGGGCAAGCAACACCGTGGGGTGCAATGCGGCTCTCCAGCCGAGATGCACTCCGAGCCAAGGCTTTTTTGCAAAGTTATTTCCAAGAATCACAAAAAGTTACTCAACTGCCGACATGAAGAGATAAAGATGAGGTGCCAGAGAGGGTAAGATCATCTCCTCCAAACACCCACTGATCTAAAAAGGGATGGTGCAATATTCATCACTGGCCATCACTACAGAAAAGGCAACTTACACCAAATTCCTTGACAAAATAGTACCACTGTTTCCAAACCGACCCCACCCCAAATAAAAAAGGTGGTATGTAGAACTTTGCCCGAAAGAACACGGGGCAGTGCAATGTTTCTTCCCACCGCACATCAGAAACACCTCCGGGAGGCTGGGATTAGCTTTAATAAAATGAGGAGTAGCTGCGTATTTCAGCAACAAGAACTTGCATTCAGGTAACTACTGATGTCAAATTAGTCATTACCCTTCGCTCTGGGGAGCAAAACACGGCCTTCTCACGTGTGACCTGCATCAGGACGTGTCTCCAGAGGGACAACAGCATCCGTCACTCGGCACCCTGAAGTTCTGCCTCCTCGGGAAACGTTACAGTAAACCCTGCAGCATTTTCTCTCATCAACTAGAGTTGATGATGGGGGGAAAAAAGCAGTCATCGTTCTGAGAGAAGTACTGTTAAAAAAAAAAAAAAAAAGTTTTTAAAAATCCACTCCATGCAAGTTGTCTGAAATGAGACGTGACAAAAGATCCACCCTGCAGATAGTGTCCGGCCTTTACAAACAGTATCAGAGCAAAACGCCAAAGTCTGTCACCATTGGACAGATACCCATGTATAGACAAATAAATTTCCATTCAGTTTCAACAAAACATCTTTCTTTTGCAATTACAATAGCAGACCAGAAAAACTCAAATATTCCAAAATATCCCAACCTGTGAATATGCAGGAATCACAGAAAGGAGACAGGCAGCTTGACTGTTTCAACTTCTGAGTTTTCACATCAGAAATGCTGATGAACTTTTCTTAAGTCTTTGCTGAACTTGGATGACGTGGTTATATTTTCTTTTGGTTTTACTCCCCATTGATATACTTGCATCTCCCCATCGTATCCATACTGTTCAAAGGGATTTGTAAAGGAAGATTCAAGCTGTAACAAGGCAGGTCTTTCCAAACTCTTTTTTTTTTTTTTTTTAAAGTACACTGAATAAAAGATTGCCTATATATTTTAACGTATGAACAGTACAACAAAATCCTTTATTGCTGACCAAGAAACAGTTCCATGTGATTAAAACAAAGACACAGGTTCTTGTTCAGAAAATAAATAAGTGCCAGAATTAATATGATGTCAATACAGTGTAAGTCTGCTTCCTTGTGTACAAAAGATCAAACCAGGCAAACAAACAAAAAATAAAATCGCATTTTTTTTCTGCAAAATTCTGTCACCAAGAAAATTTTTAGCAGGTGAAATGAGGGGGTGGTTCCAACATAGTTCACAGCTCTTTTGTGAAGTTTTCTTAAGGGGTGAGGAGGAAGGTCCTGCAGGAAGTATATGTGAAAACTTAATACAAACATACACAAGGAGGCAGGATTGAGAGCTACATGTAACCTTATATTTACAGCCTTACTACCCCAACTCCGCAAAATACAAAACTGCTTGTATGAAAATTTTCAAATAAAACATCTTTTACATGATTGCAAGTGCATAGTTTACAAGATCAGCCTTGTACACCTGTTATCATTTTTACAGCAAAGAGGAACAGTGCTTCAACAGATGACAACAGAGGATAAGCCCTTTATCACGATTCACTTTTATTGGACGCTCTCTGCGAGTGCAGGTTGTACCTTGCTTCGGGTCGCACCCACCAGCTTAAGCCATGAGAAATCAATGGTTTTTGAAGTCCAAATCCTTGGGGTAAGGGGCCAGGAAGCGGCAGCTTTCTGTAGTTAGAGGAATTACAACAGTGTAACAGTCATTCACTAAGCAGTATGGTGCAAGAGGCTCTTTGGTGCCAAAAATTGCCAGCAACGCATTTACAAATGCTAGCTAGTGGAAAGTAATCCAAGTGCTACAGCAAACGTTTCAAGACACCGGAGACCCCTGTATCTTGAGTAGTCTGGGAAGAATATCACCGTAAGGAAGAACTGTATAAAAGCCAACAAGAAATCCTTCACTGAGGAAGTACAGAAAGCATATCCTATCTCTCATCCTCTAATGCAGGGCAGGTAAGGCCCACCTCTGCAGCAGGCAAATTATTTAATCAGATTTAAAGTGATCTCTACGTTAAGATCTTGAAAGATCACTGCCTTAGTCCTGCACCATTCACCTGGGCATTTATGTGGCAGCTGACTTGCACTACCAACATCTCCAGCCGTGCCAGAAGAACATCCTGCCTGTACCACGACATGCATGCGGAACGCAGTGCTCGTACACCAAACACCTGGATTCACACACAGAAACTCCAGATTTCACGTGAAGTTAAAGAAATCCTAAACTAACCTGCAAATTCACAGATCTAATGACTTGTGATTCTTTTTTAAAATCAGGTTAAGTGTAATAAAAATGCAGACTTGTGAAATTTTTTTTCAAACTACAATGTATAAGCCGATCCTCGCAGAGATATACACATATATACAAATTTTATAGAAAACCGTGAGTCCTGCAGACAAGACTCCTAACTTGAGTTGAAAACCACTAAGTACAGCAGAAAGAAGAAACAGAGCTAAAGGGCCAACTCTGTCATCACTAGCACGTATGGCTCCACACTAACTCCAGGCATCACTGCAAGCACGAGCAGCCCAAAGACCCAAGTACCTCTTGTAACCAGCTCTCTCAAACTTCTCTTTCAGAGCATCACACACTTTCAACCCTGATCTGAAAGGGAAGGTGCTACTGAACACATCTAATAGAATGAAAACTCCAGAGATCTGCTGCAGCATTAAGTGTAGTCATCTGCACAGCTTGGCTGGGTTTGACAAAACTGCAAGTTTCCATTTCATAATCCGGTTCTAATTTGCAACACCTGCATAAGAAACAAAGACACAACACACAGCTTCTCCAACACTCTTCTGGAACTGTCATCTCTAAAATCTAACATCCCACTTGTTTTTAAATGCCCCTTTGCTTCCTTGCACTACCACTGCAAAATCCTGTATTTGTCAGTTGTTGCTGCCTCAGGAGCTCAGCAAGCGCTGACCCATCTGCACCCCCTAGCTGTCACGGGTCAAACACAGTACTTATATCTAACTTACATTCATTTTCAACTTCAAATTTATTGAGGCAGTTTATATCAATGTATCCATAAAATAATTCAGAAATAACCCAGTATACCATTTAAACATCTTCATGATTTACCCATTTACACACTCAGTACACAAACAACCCAGCCTCTGTACAGGTTCATCTCATGCAAACCACCCATAAAGACAAAACTTTTAATTAAAAATAAGTCACAACTCAGTGTACTGTTTCAACTGCATCTCCATTTACCAAATGGCACATTGAATATTCTCTAAAATAAGATGTTTTTAACAATCTTGTTAAAAAATTCTTGGGCAAAATATTTCTAGACTTAAAAAACATCAAGATTTTTCAAAACATCAAGATACTATACAACTTATAATAACCTTGAAATAGGTTTACAAGGTTGTTAACCAAGGTATTTACATACCAAACAATGTAAAGCAAAAAGTCATATTTCTAATGACAAAAAGGTGATGCATTAAAGATTTATGAAATTAAAATTAAGGCTCTTTGTTATAGAATTTTATGTAACTTTACATAATAGCCAACTTTGGAAATGTCAGTCTTGCACATTCTCGTCAACCYGCCGCATTCACAGCGGCAGAGTATATTAAGTATTACTTTGAATAATTACATTGCTACCTCTATGTTTGAGCATGCTTTTGAAACACTAATTATGAAATATTTACAATGTGTAGCCTTCAAACGTTGTGTAAAAGCACAAGTATGACTGTCTGATCTGAATACAAACAACATACTTGCAAAAACGGTTTTGCTTCTCAAAATTAAATGCAAATCACTATAGTCTTAACAAGCAAATGATCTTTGAAATGTTTTAGTATGTGCCTGAACGTGGACAGTAGAAGTTACATGAACTCAGACAGTACTGTTTCTCATTTCAGACCAAAATATTATTTGTACCAGACTTTGTTTTCTCTAAACAGGTAGAAAAATTAAATATATATTTTAAAAAAATTACTCCAAGACCTGCCTATGTTTTCCGAGTGATGCCCATAGGTTTCCTGGAAACTCAATACTGTCTAACAGGTTGTAGTGATTGGTCCACAGTTTATTTCAGGATGTGTGTTCAAATAAAAGCAACTTGCTCTTTTCAATGTCATGTCTCTTAAAAAGCACAGTGATAAAAAACACTGAAGACAGAACCAAAAAAAAAAAAAATGGAATGGTAACCTAAAGATCAAATTCATTAGCCATTTCTCCTACTATATCAAAATTTGTAGTCAGAATTGTCTTTATTGACTTTATTTTAGTTTTTGTACACAAAGAAAAACATGTTCATATCCATCATGAACAAAAACTTAAAAAGGCAGAACTAGAAGACATTTGTGTCCTTCACCAAAGCAAAGCTGTGCTAAAGGTTCCAAACATTTCCATTTTTAAAATAAATATTTTCTTTTTTTCATTGTCTACATTCCAGTCTTCAGAGTGTCACTGGAAACTGCAGCCTATCATGAAATACACACTTTTAAACAGAGTCCCGGCTCACTGCGTTTGGTAGCTTGCCATACCATATCCAGCTTGGTTAGGTATTACAGGAGCACCTTGTCCCTGGGCAGGTTGAGCACCAAATCCACCCATCCAGGCCGCAGATGGAGATTGGCTTAAGAAGAAGACGATGGAGAAAAGAAAGAGAGAGAGAAAAAAAAAAATCATACGAGCCAGTCAAATTATTTACACGACAGGTTAAAAAAGAAAAGCAAAAGCAGTAAAACCACTTCCTACGCTACTAATGATACATGAAGAGAACGTTCTCTCTTTAATGAGTAATTCAGGTGCCTCTCACATTGAATAAGTGGTACAACATGTGTGACCTGGAAATATCACAAGCATTTCAAAAGCAAAACGGCAACAAAAAGGCACAAACTTTGAATCCTATTTGCATGGGACAAAAGCCTCCAAAGGAGCGAGTGTATGCACATGCACTTGCACACMCCTCCCTCCTGCACTGCATAAAGGAGGTACGAAAATGCGCTGAAGTGGGTCAGCTTTGGACAGATCTTTTCAGACTGAACGTAACTTCCAAACAACCTGTTTTAACTTGCAGATTCTTAAACTTTCCATTCCTTAAACGAGGTCTTTGGACTACCTAGGGTTTAATGAACTATAAGAGCTTACAGTTTGACAATCTGCTAATATCTAAAACAAATTTAATACACAAATTATCAATATACTGCACTTACCACAAATTCCAAATGTAAAAGGCCATTTCAATATGAACAAGGGAACTTACAAGTCCTTAGGCATTCAAATGACTTATACATTTTTTTTTCCAGATCAATGCTCTGATTTTAGGAAAATATAGTATGCCATTTTATTAAGAATTTCAACGAATGACAATGACATACTATATTTGTGTACATCAGACAACTTAATAGATACACCGGTTTTCTTAGAACCGTCTATTTTCTGACCAACATCAGTGACGCAGTAATGCAAAAAATCCCAGTCTAACTGGCACAAGTACCAACGGCAGGTTTATMTCTGCTTTGTACGCTTAATTGACATGAATAGATAACGCAAAACTATTTAAGCAAAGAAGTTATTTAAACAGAAATTTGTTGTGAGGACTTCACAAAGATAAAGCACTAAAAAGCCATCCAAGTTCTTCAACTCCAGGAATTAAAAGTTCAGGATACAATTCCTGCTCTCTAGGTTTACGAATACTTTAGAGAAATCCTTTGAGCTCTCTGGTTCCAGCTTTTCCACTATCCTCCACTTTAATCATTCAGTTTTTAGAGAAGACCTGACATGACCATCATTTGAAACCCTACCATAAAGAGAGTCAGCGTTAGTTTTCTTGGCTCTCAGAAGAGCCATGTGCTCAAAATGTGTTACTGAGTATAGATCAGAGCAACTCACCCTCTACTTTGCGCACAGTAACCATTAATCATAACCTTGAAGCACATGGGAATCCCTAAGGAAGGCTTGAAACCTTGTGCAATCCCCATAACAAATGGGTCTGAAACTCAGATTTACCATTCTTACAAAATTCAATAAAATTTAAGTACGATTACTCACTCTACTCCAAAACCCTGTTGATTCCATGCTTGGCCGTACATTCCATATGATGATACTTGCCACCCGTTAGCCATATATTGCCCATACTGCTGTGGATTTCCATACACTTGGCTCCACTGCCCCCACTGACTGTAGTCCACCTAAGGAGAGAGCAATTGAGGGCACCTCAGGTTCCAGAGGGCGATTACATTCCTGTTTCGTTGCTAATGGCAAAATTGCCCGAGTCAACCACATGTCAAATTATTTAGTGACACTGAAATGGGAACAATAGCCAAGAACATTGTCGCCTTAACTGGGTCCTTGTACTGAGAATGGCTGCGTGCGCGCACGGGAGGGTACGAACAGGGGGTAAATGTTTGGCTGGATACTCAGCTAGCAAGTGAACTAGCAAGAATCAAAATTACCTCAAAGTTTCTCCCTATCTTGAATCATATCCAGAAGACAGTAACAGATATTCCAGCAAAAATCACTAGCCAATTTGATGAACAACTGGAACATAACTGAGACAGAACATGGAATTTTGTAAGAAAACTACTACAGAATTGAACTATTATAATTGGGAAGGCATTACAGATAAACACCATGGCTTTGGTTAAGCACAAAAATGCAAGAGTGCAAAGTGTACTTACCTGTTGAAAGTTTTTAGTCATATCAGGAGATTCTTTACCCCAATAACATTTAACAACATGTCCTTCAATTGTGGTTCCATTAACTGAAACAATAGCATGTGCTGCACTTTCATGGGTTGAAAATCTAAAGAAGGTAAAAAACAAAAGTTAAGTTTTTTAGAACTTTTACTCAATCACTAAAAAACACTGACTCCATACATACAGGAAATCCAGAGAAAAAGATCTGCTTTCACAGATTTTCATCTTCTCAGGTAAAAAGATTGGTGGCCACTTTTAAAAGAAGTTCCAAATATTTCTATGAACACATGGTGACAGCTTTTAATATAATAGCAGAAGTTCATTSAAGAGAAAATACAGAACAAGTAAATATTACTACATAACAATCGGATTTTCCTTTTCTCTCTCCATACCTGACAAATGAGTAACCTTTTTCTGGAAACACTCTTATTTCCATAATCTGGCCGAATGGTGAAAAAGTCTGTCTCATAAGTTGATCTACAACACACACATACACAACGTGTTTGAATTAAGAGCCACCTTGGGATCCAAAAAGCTTCAGTAAAGAAAGAACAATAAAAGAAATCCTACCTGTTAGTCCAGAGGCAATTCCTCCACAGTACACAGTACAATTTTTTGGACTTGACTGATTTACTACATCTTCAAATCTCAACTGTTTTGTATTATCTATAAAGAAAGAAGGCTGATTTTAAGCTTTAAGCTAATAGTAACCACAGATTCTCAAATACTTACCTTATACAGAAGTATGAATTCCAGGCTTAAATATATACCATAGACCACCACCTATATTGCTTCAATATATCAGAAAAATCTATTCTTTAASATCTAGAAGTCAAATATACACTTAAGTGACATAATTTTGGCAGCATTATGTCTATTCCTCCACTTAAAGCAAGAGTGCTATGCAAGAAAGTAAACAACAGGGTATGACATGAAGGGTCTTACTTTCTTGTGTACTTTTTGGAGCTGGTGGTTTCCTCGTTGCCCAGTTAGTTCTGATCTGACGGCCTCCCAACCACTGGCCTCCCATGTGTACAATAGCATTTTCTGCATCCTAAAGAGATAAAAAATAAAATTGCTAGCACGCAAAAAAGAAATATGTATAGTACTTTTAAGGGAAAAACTATGTATATATATTGTCAGGTAATTCCRTTTACAGCATTCCCCCTGTCGAGCACTTCCATCCTGCCCTCTGGAAATATACAGTTTATGTTCAAATGTAGGCTGCTTCTATGAATTTGTAAACATTAAAAAGTCACTATATGAAGAGATCAGGTTGAGAAAAGGGGGGGGGGGGAATAGAAAAAAGAATAGAGAGAATCTATGGCCCAAGTAACTTTGCTTGTGCACAAATCAGAAGACAACATGTAAATTTACAGTATAAGCAGAAATTCCTTTTAAGGAAGCAACAGATTCACTAAACTGCAAGAAGCCACGTCCCCCCGCCCCCCCCCCCAACTGCTTTGAAAAAGGAGAGGCAGAGCAAATAGTACACACACTGAAYAGGATTTTCCACGAGCACAAAGGTTACAAATGAAAATCTATAGCACAAAGGAGCTAACAGAATATTTAAAGATCCTGGCAAGTGTTTTGTTTCATACCAGAACTCCATGAGGACAGATTCATCTGTCAAATCAAAGTCAAATCATTCAGGACCTTGGTCCCTGTAAGYCCCCATTCTGCAGGGCGCTTACTTTTAGGACAAGCAGAAACGCAAACCTGCCTTCAACCAGCATCTCAGGACAGGTGCTGGCACCAGAACACTGGACTCCTGACTACTGTTGATTCAGCCACCAGCTTTAAAAGTACTTTTAACTATTACATTTAGAACCCAAAGTAATTCTGCAGCCTGATACAATGAATATGCAAGGAAAAAAAACCTAGAATAGAATATCTGCAACTACAGAAACATGTCAGAAAGGCTAATACTTAGAATTCTTGCAAAAGAGACTTTAGACTGGTGCTTAATTTCAGAGTCTGCATAATTACTTATCCATATGAACTTAATTTAACTTTATATCTACTCCAGTTCCCCATTACTCACCAGTTTGTTATAAAAAGATACAAAACCATAGCCTTTTGACTTTCCAGTTGCCATGTCTTTAACTACCCGTGCATCCCTGTGAAAAGAAGCACAGCTATATGAGGATAATAGTAGTAACTTGCAAAATAAAAACTAAAAGGAACCACACACACTGTATTGTGAGCATATTTTTCTTATCAATTCAGTTAGCCCTAAAACTACAGTAATTCCTGAACTCTCCCTATCGCTTCTTTACCTGTTAGAAAAAAGCAGTAGGACAAAAAATAACATGTAATAAACATGCAACCTAACCACATAACCTATACTGGCTAAAACTATAAAGTTCAAATTTGAAGTACAGAAGAAATAAAAGTTTCCTTTTCTAATATTCTATTGACTAGGGTCCTCTAAGTTTTACTGTTCTACAAATTACTGCAACAATTCTATCTACTTCACCATGCATTTTCTAAATAGTTAAATGTCTTCTGCCTAGTGATACAAAATATATGAAATATTTAAAAAATCGAAAAAGAGGAAAAAATAGGAATTAAAAGGCATACATGGCCTGTTAACAGATTTCTTTATTTTTCTTGGTCAATTCTCTACCATCATTTTGGAGTTTGGGCAGCTGTAAATTTTGAAAAATTGACATTTTCAGAAATTTAAGAAAGGAGAATAAAACTAACAACAATGCTAAGCACACCAGTACGAAAACAACAAATTTACACAGAAATTTTAGTGAGTAAGTTAAAATGATTGGAAATATAGAACTGCACTGAATATAGAATGTTAAAATGTAAATACTAAAATATGTATATATAAATAATGTATAATAAGAATAAATAGAAATGAGAAAAAATCTACAACTGAGTTCCAGTGTGCACAGTTCCTTGCAGTTAGCCTTCAAGATCCTGTCCATTCTTATGAGCAATTCTGCAAAATAACCAGAATGCTATTACTTTTAATTGTGACTTGGACTTTAGAAAAACTGCAGGTCTCAGGTATAAATATAGATTGAGAAACAGAAACCTGAATTATTCTCTTTATATTGATTTTTAAACAGCACTACTTACCACATTAAGAGACAAAAAGCAAAATATACACAATAGCAGAAGTAAGAAATGAGATTTATGGTTCATTTAAAAATATGCGTGCAGAACAAGACAAAAAATAATTTTTGTTCTTAAAAGAATATTCCTGCAAAGCAGGAATATATAAGTTCAACTTTAAAGGATTTTTATGAAGCTGAATTGATATAGTACCAGATATTTTTTGTATTCTCAAAGACATACATACTTCAGCTTTTCCATGTTTAATTAAAACAGTGGATGATTTTGGATCACTTGAATTATCTATGAGAAGTTTAAAGAAACTTTCTCTTAACCAGCTGAGCGCACATACACTGTAATATTCTTTTACTTTGAAATTAYACTATCATGTAGAAAAGCTGATTTCATTCTCAAAAGTAAATACATTTTTTTTCAAAACATTCACAAGTTACACAACTAGCAGTGCCATAGAATTATACTCTTTTAATTATCTAGCTTTTTATGCTGCCTGCAAAATGCAGTTCAAACGCATACAGAATGTTGTATACAAAACATATACCACTTGTAAGTCAAGTCACTATTCTGTACACATTCCGAACAAGGAGCAATCAAATTAATAAAAACCCTGAAGGATATTAGCATATAAACTAGCTTAAAAATACATTGCTTTCAACAAACTTGAAGCACAGATTTAAGTTACTGTATTTACCAACATATGATACATGAGACAGCATAAAAAAACCCTCCACTTCCCACCCAACATACAGCAAATAACATCAGAGAAATGACTTAAACAATAAGCAGCATTTCATTCAGAAGCAAATTTCTATAACTCTACTATGCAACAGTGATATCAGCAATATTGATTATGATACTTACGATATTTTACCAAAAGGGGCAAAGGCTGACTTGATGTCTTCTGTTGTTATTTCTGGACTTAAATCCCCAACGAACACATGGAAGTGATCTGAAAATAAATAATTTACTAATCAAATATTTAACTGCTATCTCCAGCTTTAGCTCCTGAGGCAGCGGTGCTCTGCCTGTGGTGCTGGAGCCAGGAGCACACGGGATTCCACTCGATGCGCAGCAGCACTTTAGTCTGTCCACTCCAGTTTTCCCAGTTGTAAAGCAGAAACAGAAAAATTAGTTTGCAAAATGCTATTAAATACAGAATGAGGAGGAAAAAATATTTATCTTTAAATGCATTTTAACAAGTTATTACCATGTTTTGAAATATTTGCACACAAGTGAAACTGTCACTTTACTTACTGGATGTATCTTTTTTCTGGCTACTTGGTGTTGTCGCCCAGTTTACTTTGACCTCCTGAAAATAAGTGCAAGATTTAGTATAAATTCTTATGTTTAAGGTCATTCAGAGTTTGGTTACAACCATTTATATTCACAAATCGCCCTTCAATATGAATGACCGAGGTACTTAAAAYACAAGAAACTATAAGGAGACAGTTTCCTAATCCTATTTTTCCATCAGCAGAATTTAACTTTAGTAAACATCTTCATCAAAATTAACACTGCAGTTTTAGTAATTCTTACACAAATCTATTTTGCTTTAATCTAAAATTACTATACATACAACTTACCTTTCCCAAAATTTTTCTCCCATTCATAGCAGCTAATGCAGCAGCTGCATCTCTGTGTTCATAAAATTCCACAAAGCAATAAGGGTCATTGCTTGTATGCTGCAAAACAGAAAATCCAACAGAAGAGTTGACCCTTCTGCTATCGGGTTGCTGAGAAGAAAATCCAGGAAAATATATTACTTATAGCTAGAAACGTTAAGAATGATTTGCATTAGAATTATGAAATAGCCTTTGAAATAACAGTTAAATTTACGAATTATTGAGGTGGATGTCTTTAAAGGTCTAGCGATTTTTGATGTATAGTTCACTTTATTTGAGGGCTCAGCATTTTTATATAAAAGCCTAAGTTTGAAACATTTCAACTACCAGAAAGGTGATCTGCAGACCAGATGACAAGCGAAAGAGGGACAAAAGGATGAAAAAGCAGAGAAGAATGAAAATTATCTCCTAYCCCTAACATATACACCAAGTATGAAAAGTTTGCTCCCCAGAAATCTCCAAATTTTCATCTCTTCCTCTTACTTCAAAGGTCTTCCATTTGTCTGAAAAATCACTAGTAGACMAGCACTTAGTGCTTGCATATTCTCAGCTTCACATGAAAGATGTTACACCTAATTACTAACCGGGAAATACATCATTTAAAGCACTCAGAATAACTGAAGTCTGGGCAAGGAGATGCTAATCCAGCTGATTAGTAGGTACCCTGCTGCATCGGAGGTCTGATCTGCTTTTGTAGATTAGCCTTCCCAATCATTAATAAAAATACTAACTGATCAACAAAGCTTACTGAAGTATTAAACGTACAAAGAAAATACAAAGAAAAGTTTTCTGAAAAGTTGATCAATATAAAGCAAAGGTTTGAATAAAGATTCCAATACTGGATTAAGCTGTCTCAAAAATGCCCTGAGTACAAAAACTGGAGCATTGCACCAAATTATCTACGTAACAACATTATGTACATACTATTCACTGAACAAAATACAGTAATATAAAAGTATCAACTCAACTAAAAACTAAATTGAAGGTTTTCTTTCTCTCTCTCTTTTTTTTTTTTTTTTTTTTTTTTACTGCACATAGATGAAAGCATCTAACCTGTAAGCAACTACTTTGTAACCAGCCTTCTTGCTGTTCACTTCGCCCAGTGGTAAGAAAACCTTAGCACTAAATACTAGCAACACTAAAGTTAACACTAGGCTTTTTTTCCATTTCAATATTTAACTTTTGGTACCCATATGCACTGGTTTGAAGTACAAGAACACAAACCTCAATTCTGTTCTGTAACTCGGCATTGTACGTCTTCAAATATAGTTCAGCTGAACTAGGGAACTGAACATGGACAAGGGAGGTCAGGAAGATCTAATAGATAAACCAGACATATGTCTGCTCGTGTCTGAAATCATGAAGCAGTCCTAGGTAGTCCTTTTAAGGACTCTCAATACTAAATATTCCCAATCCGGAAAATGAACAGAGAGAAAACATACCCAAGATTACAAAAATACAGGTTAGGTAGCAATAGCAGCTGAGTGCTCTGAGAGTACATGGACCTCAGGTGCCTCAAAATGTTTAAGACTTACTCGTCTCTCCTCCCATATTGCTTTACTGCTGCCTTAAACCAAGATTTGGGAAACTAGTCTGAGGTCCTAATAGATTTAGTGCATTTATGCCTCAATTAAAATCCATCCTACTTTAACTTTGAGATTTAGGGGACTTTGCTTTAGCCTAAGATTTTGCCCAGGAAAAATGCCTCTTTCATGGATGCCTGCATCTTACAAGTATTCATGACACCTGGAAACACCAGCCACCTCGTCTCTGTGTGGTGTGCATCCCCAAATAAACATTTGTGGCATGAACATCAAGTGTGTAGAGATCCCATCTTCCACAAAAACAAAACAAAATTGCGACAACTAACTAAAGAGAAGCACAAAAAGAAAATCCAGGTACAAATATATCTGATGAAGGTAATATTCAAAAAAAAAAGTACTTAAACATCAGCTAATGTCTATGAAAAACTGTTTCCAACACAGCGATTGGAWAGATGGGCAATATGATACTTTCATAGTTATAACTGTGACTTTCACGGCATTTCAGCTGCAGACCAGTTCCACTTCAGCACCCAACCACAAAGTTAATTTGCCACTCAATTTCAAGGTGTAGGTATGATCACCATTAATGTGAAATGCTTTTTAAGAAATTGTTTTTAATAATACATGAACCACTAACAAACCATATAAAAATATTACTACTTTGCAAAATATGCAAGCAAGGGCATATTCGCTATTTTAACTGAATACTGCCCTCATTTTCTCTCAATATTTACTTTGGGCTTTAGAGTAACTACAACAAATTGTTCTACATTTAAAATGATGTTTTAAGCAGTATTGATACAAAGTTTATGGTAGATTGGAAATGCACATATTTTAAATGGATGTAACAGAACATACTTGTAGATATTTTACAGATAAAAAAATCACTGCCCTTTCTAGCTTCGACTATTAATTTTCCTCCCATTGAGCTCTTCTCCCCCTATGCTTTCTTAGGGAAGAATGTCAAATAACCCTGGAGCTGCCAAGGAAGGCAGAGCCACAGTGAGCAAATGGGTCCTGGATTAGCTATAAACGTCAATCTTGGTAGATTGCTTGGTGACATGTTTTAAGGTCAGCTAAGTATGTTCACCTCTGTACATAACTGAATTTAGCTCCAAGTAACTTTCTTATAAACTCAGTTAATAAGGATGCTCCGCATCTTATTTCCCTGATTATTTAAAATTGTAAAACTAGAAAGCAGTGTTGGAATTTCTCATCTGCTTTTCAAGAAATAAAACCAATACTAACACCTCTCATGATGAGCTGAAGGGCCAATTGCCACTGCCTTATTTCTGMAGTGCCTATGACAATCAGAACCCTTTCCTCAAAGTAAAAACTAACAACTGTGCACTGTTATGCRTCCTGGATAGCCACCTTTCTCCAGTAACTTTCTAGAAAAAAAAAAGATGTGACAGAGCAACGATTAGAGMGATTTAAAAAGTGTATGCAGCTAATGAACTGACTGAAGATAAAAAAATAATAATAATAAAAAAAGCAGTGCATTGTATTGAAAGGAAAAACAGACCACAGAAGTTACTAATGGCATTCCTCAAAGATGAATCTTGAGACCAAACTTATTTAACACTTTCATTAATGATCTTGGTAAAAATAATGTGACTGCACTCAGGAAATCTGTAAATGACAAGTTAGTAGGAAGAGCTGTAGGAAGTTCAGAGAAGAATAAGGAAACCATACAGAAAATCAGTTAAAGAACCAAGAATCAGAAGTTCCAATTAAAGTCCTAACAGGTAGGGCCTATGAGCAATAAATGCAGAAGGAAGGAGGAATATAAGGCAGTGACAGGCTGACATGAAGTCAACAAGATCACAGAAATGACTAACAATTCTAAATGCATGAGAGCATGTACCATGGAGACAAAAAAGTGTTAATACTTACCAGTAGTTTGTACAAAAGACCTTATCTGAAATATTGTTGACATTTTGTCACTTTGTTCCCAGAAATAAGATAACTTAAGAACAGACAGGTACAAGAAAAAGGCTATTCACACTGGCACCAAGGACGGTCAGGAAAAGCAAAGTTTGTTTTGAAGGGATTTTGGATGTTCAATGATACATAGTCAAAAAACTGATAACCCAAAAGGGAAAGTTACTGAAAATACATTCAAGTCAAGAAAGTACGAAGTAGCCATGAATTGGACAGGGCTTAGATCAGAAATAAGGTTTCCAATCATGAGAACAAAGTGGTTCTGATGAAAAGAGGGGGCAAAGATCCTTAAATTACAGAGAAAGATCATTATTAGCTAGTGGAACAGATAAGCAGATATGGCAGGGTCACTAGAAAAAACCAAAACGGAATGAACTCAATGACTCAAGAAGTCCCTTCTGCAAAAGGCTAGCCCCAAATGCAATCTATGTAAAACAAACCCCATCCTAATTAAACAAAGTACTATCCTGTCTGTAATGTCAAAAGAACCCCAAGCTCCATTTATTTTCTACATTTTTATCCTAAGTTATGGTATATTTCTTATCCCCCTCACCCCAGATGTGGAAGGTCTTACCTCTGTTATCATTTTACAGCTTTTGCATGGTCCAATCTGGCTGAATAACTGAAGTATAAGTACTTCAGTCACATCTCTGGAGAGGTTTCCTACATAGCTACACAAGAAAATAAAAAACAACATTTTAAACCAGCAATTTTCATTTTCTCAAACTTAATTATGATTTTAAAACCCAAAATGACTAAGAAAATTTCCCTTAAAATATCCCAGATATTTTACACTGAAAGACAGCATTTGTAATGATTTCATGACAAAGTTTTAATGCAGCATTCACACAGTTTCTAGAATATCAAATTGGCCACACAATTGAGACCATGAAACTTGAAAGAAATGTAATACAGGACACTCATACTAAAATTCCAAAACTTTTTTGGCAGAGAAATATCACATGCAGAAAGAATACTGTTCAGGAATGTTGGATATAAGAGGTGACTTCTTGGGCACAGATGCTTAAGTTTCACTTCCCACTGCGCATCCAATTGATTTGACTTTTGAATCTGGGTATGGACTTTTACCAACTCTCTTATTTTTTTAGTAGTAACTAACCAACACGAATTGTGCTGACTTGTGAGTGGTCAACTCAATTTGTTCTCCTGAACATTTGATAAACCAGCCCACTCACCAAGAGACAAGGCAATTTTTGCAGCATTATGCCATACAAAGGCTCTGTACAGCATCTATTTCAACAACTACTACCTTGATGAAAACTCAAATTTGGGCAGAAGTAATTTGAACATCAGTAAGACAGTCTGCTTTATTTACAACACCTTAAAAATAATTGCAGATTTTTAAATATCTAGGAAGTTCAGATTAAAAAGTACTACAACTGCCTAGATATCCAAAATCCAGAAGCACAGTTTTAGAAGTACTTCTAGATACCCTGCTAGATTTGAATGCACACAAAAAGTAATATCATGTCACAGAGACTGCTGAAAGAGTCGCACATACAAAACTGCATTCTTAAAAGAACAAAAAAGACTAAGAGATTACTCTGGAATCATACATAGCAAACAAAAGCCAGCCTAAAGCTTTTAATGCACCTCACTGAAGATAAGCACAAAATATTATTTTTTAGTTACTGAAGCCAGATGCTTTTCCCCACAGCAATTTAGAGGGGACACTTTTTTGCTTAATGCTCGTTTCTTTGAGTAGAATTTTAAAAAGCTCTTCCTGTGTTTGACAGCTGGGCTTACAGTAGCTTCAACAGAATTAAAATTGCCACTGCTTGTTTTCATGCAGCGGGCAACCCACGAGGAAATCAACAGGGTTTTGTTTACGTTCCTATTCTTCCAATAACTGTCCCTTTCTCACTGAGGACTTAAACATTATATGGTACCTGAAGTGAATTTCTTAAGTGGTATCACCTGAATATGGAAACATGCCCTAAAAACATTTGTGCACTTCTTTCTTACTAGGTATGCATGAATTGATAAAACTCATTTTCAGAAGCTATATTTGTGGATTGTATTAAGTTACCAAGTTTGAACAAAATAAGATAAAGTTTGTCAAAATTAGTAAATAATACTTATAATAGGACAAATTGCTCCATTGAGTTAATTGTCTACACCAAAAATTTAACAGTTAAACATTTATCTAAATCTTATTTCTGAAACCTTAACTGAGCTCTTGTTAATCATTGCCTAGAGTTAAAATTGCACACCACTAACGGTTTTGAGTGAAAACATTAACCTTTCCAGATATTACTAAAGTCAGGTGGAAACTAATTAGAAATAAGTATTCCTACAAAAATTGTCACTATTGCTGTGAACTTATTACTAGTGCCTGTTTCCTCTGTATGCTGGTATCATCATACCTGAACAGCAAACTGCTATAACCAACTGTACTACAACATAGACAAAAACTGTCTGTATTATGAAGTCTACATCTAGCACAAAGTCATAGAAGGTAAAAAAATATAGTTAACGGAAAAAAAAACTCAGCATCTTTTGCATACTACTATTGCATACTTTTGCATAGTACTAATATGTATTTTAGAAATGCAAAACATTCTGAAATACAGTGTTAAGAATTCATTTTGGTACAACAAAAAGAAGGGTGAGGAAAACCATGCTTCCCAAGTCTTTTCAACTAGAACTGAAAAGTAAATTATTCTAATAGCTACAAGAATAAATAGCTAATTTTCCAATACCACTGTGTTTTCTCCAAAGCAACCGTGACAATGTTACACCTTAAACTGTCACCTTTGCTCTTCCTAAAGAAGGATAATTTTGGACCAATTGATTGCTGCACTTAAAAGGGTATTGTCACCTCCTAATGGTCCATTAATTTCCTAAAAACATGTAGTATTTTAAATACTGATTTGGTGTTTAATATTGCCATAAGCAAATGGCTTTAACGCCTTTCTCAAATTGCTAAAACTCTAAAGCCTGAATAATACACACGAGCGATGAGTAGGCAATTAAATGATCACATAACACTATGAGAAATCCAAATCTCTTGAAGCTTATGTAAAAATACAGGAACATAAACCTCTACAGATTTGAAATTATACGCTAAAGACTATGGCTTGATGATTAACTTGATGGCTTTTAAATCAGTAGGTTGCAGTAACACCAATTTCCTTCAGCACAGTTAAAGATGACTTAAAAAAATAATTACAAGCAAATAGCTTTAGTTTAGTATGCAATGTTTGAATACTATATAAAGAAAAATTGTATTCAGCACATTAGGAACAAAAACCTTACCTTTCCAGAAACACAAAACTTTTCTGGGCTGATGCTAGTCACCTGGTACACAGAGTCAGGCTAATGGTGTACCTAGTTTCCCCTTCTTTAGGTTAGCTTATGCATAGATTTAGTGTTCTCTATTCTTCTTTTGAAACCCAAACAAGCAGAATAACACTTACAGAAACATAAGGCATTAAAAATGCTATCCTACTGTATTTCAACCTTTTTGTTTTGTTACATCCTAGAGGACAAATTATTCAAACTTTTCCAAAATCATAAAATCCAACAGAGAAGAAGCACTTACTATACTTTTATAGGCTGTTGTCTTGCTTAATGTGACAGGGCAGCAAAAGTTGTGGCTTTTTGCATACAGGCAATAGTGTTTGTTCCCTTCTGCAAGTTTGAAGCACTTAAATACCAATTAATAAGCACATACAAAAAAAAAAACCCAAAGCAGATATTTATATTCTAAGTTTCAATATAATATACTTTTGAATACTGCTGACAACATAAAGAATAAAAAACTGTACTTCAAATTCAGAGAACTTGTAAAATTTCTAATGAAGAAAAGAAGCATACATCAGCAAGAAGTAGGTTTTAGAATTAAATTTTCAGGCTTGAACATTAAAAAAAAAAATCCCCCTTGTGAAGATAAACAGGTTTTCATTGCGTCCTAGACAGGTAAGGAAGAAAGGGACACTTACAGCCATTACTTTTTTGTCCACAAGAAATTTCCTACATACTCTTCGGAGGAAATATAGTAAATATGCTTTTACACTCATGCAGACAACATGCAAGAAATGACGGATTCTATATTTAAGTGAAGGAAGCCCAGTAAGAAATAAGGCAAGCAATGAGGTGAAAGCACCAGAAATTCCAGGAGCTTCTCTCTGACCAGTGCAGGTCAGAGGAACAGGAAATGAAATGACAGCAAGAAAAATCCACTCTGTAGACTCCACTAGCAGACACTATTCCTCTATAAAAGAGCTCAACTGAAAGGAAATGCAGCAGGTAAGTGAATCCAGTTTCAGGTTCAAAATCCTACTATACAACAAGGCAAAGCTAACATTGCAAGAACTTACAGATACCTCACGGCTGTCTACGAACAGCTTTAATAACATTCACTTCGAGAACACACAGTTTTGCAACTTTCCTTCTAGTTGACTCTAACAGCTGAGAACACTGGCAACACACTACGTTTCTGGTAGCTTAAAGTTTCTAGTTTGAAGTAAAACCAGGATTTTGATACTACTTGCAATGGAAAGATTTAACAGCATGCACAAGAAATAGCAGAGCTTTCAAATGTCCTAATAAGAGAGGAAAAGAAGAAAAATGCACAGCCTAGAGCTCTTATTTAGTGCCAGCTAAAATATTAGTTTGATCATTTCCAATATCTCATTTGATTTGAGGGGTGTTGATAAAAAAAAMTAGGTGCCAATGTAAGGAATACTACACAAAAGTTCATCTTCTGAAGTTATCATCAAATTGTTAAAAACAGCAAGGAAAAAAATGGCAGAAAATACTATTATTCTTCATGTTTCTACATAGGCCTACAAGTTACAAAGTAAAGACATGAAAGTTCAAGTAGTCTATTTTCTACATTAAGTTTGAAAAAATTTTGAACTCCTACTAGCCTTCCACGACTCACCTATTGTGCCTGCAAACAATCCCATACATTCTGCACATGGTAGCTGTGGTTATTTACGACATAATTAAGTCATAATTATATAGTATATATAGTCAGATGATGACCACTGGTTAGGTGGATTTTTATTTTTTTATGATTTAAATGTTTGCTTGTAAATGTAATAAATAATCCTTCCTAACATACAGGTTTGGCTTTTCATTCCTGAAGGAATAAATGAAATACCAAAGACACCCATAAAGTACCACTTAATTTACCAGGGAAGTGCTTATGCACACAGTGAAATAGCTACAGACACCCATACTTCCCATACTTATCACATACTTTTTTTTTTTTCCCTRAAAAAAAAAAAAAAAACCCAAGCAAACAAAAATGAAAGAGTTCAACTTACAATATTATTAGTTGCTCTTGGAGGTCTGCGAGTCTTTCGTTTATATGAAAGATCACAACTGCCACATATGAGAAGTTATTACTCAGGACAGTAATGTTTAAAAAAAATAGGGAAAAAAAGAAAGAAGATAAAAAAAGCCAAAACCCCACCAACATTTGCAATACTACATATAAAKGTTCTTCAGATAAAAGAGTAGGGACAAGAGGAAGATGTAAGAAGTCCTAAAGCAGATTTTTTTTGTATTCTGTAAGAAAGCCCTTGAAGAATTATAGGAATGCAACTTACATGACTGCGATTACTACAAAGCTACTAGGAAGTGAATGTATCTGATRTTTATTAGCTTGACAAATTAAACAGGGAGTCCCATGTGAGGAGTGAAACATCTCGGGCAGCTGTAGAGATGATATTTCAGACATCCTAGCACAAATGTAATTTTTTTTCCTTGTCAGGGACTAAGTCAGGTCATTGCTGGAGAGGTTAGTAAGAATCCACTCGCAGCGTAGTATCAAAAACTTGTTGCCCAGAACAAAACACTTTAGACTTGCTCTGGATATAGACTCTGGATAAACCGAGCAGAGAGATGAACCATGAAAATAAAACTGAGTTAAACATGTTGTACCTTTGCCCTTTTCCCTCCTCTCATCCTAAAGCAACACTCCAAAGAATACTTTCCACTTTCAGGGCCAAGCAAACTCAGTCCATCTGGACAGCCAACATGCAAAACAAAACAAAAAAATAAKAATGTAGGATACATTTATTCAAACTGCGTGTCTGAGGGAGCAATGACTATGTACGTACTTATACTACACTGTAAACTGATTAACAGAACTTTTGCAGATGCAGGAAAGAGAAAAAACACAAATTGCCTAGGAAAGCCTTAAATGCCAAGTCATCATTTTGGTCGTGGCAATGACAAAGTAATTTAGAGGTATCCTGCCCTGTCCCCGTTGYTCCTCCGGAGCGGCCCTCAACGCAAACCGTGCCCGAAACCCTCGCAGGCAGGTGCAGCGCCCAAASCCGAACGGGCAGGGCCGGCACCTCGCCTGGGCCGGCACTGCGCGCACGGGCAGCCTGGGCGCTGAACACGCACGCTGAAAACCCAGGAACTCGGTAAAAACAGCCACCCGGGGCATCACACAGCCCCAAACGCCTGTGCGTGCCTACCAGCTCCCTCTCGGTACCAATACCGTCAGAAAGGCCGTACCTGCAGAGTTGAAAAGAACTTAACAGCAGGAGAAACACCTCAATTTCTTATTTTCAAGAAATAAAGGGCAGACAGCACCCCGCTACTGTGAGCACGAAGCCCTGTGCACGCACACGGCCAAGGCGCAGCGGTCTGCGCCGCCGGGCCTGACAGGCGGCTGCTCACACACACCGCCCAACACCGGAGGATAAAAACCAGCGGAGGCTCCGCAGGGGCAGAGCCTCCTCCCCGCGGCCCCTCGCCGCCCGCCGCGCAAACCGGCGGCGGACAAAGACCTCGGGCCGGGCCGGGGGCCGCGCGGGCGGGCGGGCGGGCGCCCCCCGGCCGCTCGCGCAGCGCCGGGCTCGTCCCGCAGGGCCCCGCTCGGCGCCTCCTCCCGCCGCCCTCCGCAGCCCCGCAGCACCCCGCCGCCGCAGGCCCCTTCCCCACTCACAGGGTCCTGGGCTGCCCGTCGTCTTCCATAATGGTGCGTGCGCCGGGCCGCTCGCCGCCGCCGCCGGGCGCCGCGCTGGGGCGGGGGGGCTCGGCCGCGCGCGGGCCGGGAGGGAAGGTGAGGGAGAGGGCCCCGGCTCCCCTCGCTCCGTCTCGCCCCCTCTCCAGCTCCCGGCGGCGCAGCCCGAACGGCGGAGGGAAGAAGCACCACAAAATGGCCGCCGCCACCAGACGCTCAGGAAGCCGCGCTCTGCGCAGCCGCGCCCCGCTCCCGCCGCGCCCGCCGCCTCCTTCCCCTTCCCCTCGGCCGCGCCGCGGAGCGCCACGGGCCTTGGAGTCCCTGGCGCGGGCAGAGCGGCGGGGCGCCGCGCCGGCCCCGCGGCATGCCGGGAGTTGTAGTCCTGGGSCGGCCGAAATACCGCCCGCGCGGGCGGGGAGTGCGCGCGGAGTGAACTACCGCTCCCGGCGTGCCGCGCGGCGCYCTGCCCGCCGCCMGCGGGGCGGCCCGCCAAGATTCGTGTGAGGCGCCGCGGGCCGGCGCCGGCGCGGTTGGATGTTGGTGCCCGGGAAAGGGGCGAATTCCCGGGCCCCGGCTGGGGAACGTCGTTCCCCTGGGAAACATCAGTCCCCAGTGTTATTCGGGACTCCTCCAAGTTTTAGCCATTTGCACAGTGCGCACAGGCGCTAGACTTTTATTTATTTTCTCCACAGCTTCGAAACCCTGAAAWATTTAGCATACTAAAGTACTGCGTTCTGGCCTCAAAATTACAACCTTGTTTGTGAGAGCACTTTCTTAGCACAGTTTTCTGACAGTTGCAAAGCATTTAGTCCACTTTCCTATCTTAATTCTCCTGTGTTTGGTGGTATATGTTTAAATACATTTACTAGATTAGATGTAGTTTTCCAATATTCTTCATTAATTCACAATACTGAGATGTTTCTGGTGTCAAAACTGACAACACATGAAGAATAATTTGTGCTACATGGCACTATCATTTAAAATTAATACTGTTTTCAGGAGATTCTGTTCTATGCAGACTTGGATTGGAGCAAAGATTAATAAATCCTTATGCCATTGAAGTGTTCTGCTACAAAAAMAAGTGTTTAATGGAAGAGTGTTAATAGAAGTCTATTTTTAARGAGTTGCACACTAAATTAGGACCTGTCATTATGAGAAAACCGACCAGAACAGCTCAGTATCAATGGAATAAGACTCTGCTCACAGACAGCTATTGCAGAATAGCAATAGCACGCTCTTATTCTGGAAGAAATTCAACATTGAATATTTAAATACTCTTAAATATTCTTTCTCTTCCAAAATAGTAACCTCATGAAGAAAACTGGCTATGTACTTATGAGATGAGATATTTTCATGCCGGCTGTTCACACAGTAATGTTTTCCCATCCTTGACTTAAACATGCAAGACCGTTGCCAGGCATATATTTCCGACAGAAGCTATTCCAGCTCGAAGCAGTATCTATTTCAGAAGAATACATTGCATAGGTGGCTTAAATAGTCCTTTAATATGTGTTAAAACACAGATGATTTAATAAACAGAGAACTACTGGCATAGTCTACCCACAACTCTTGAATAGTCAAAGATCTGCCTATAAAACACTTGCCTATCCAGCACAGATCATATTTTTCCTTTATCAGCCATCGCTGCTGGTGATGGCAGTGACAGGAGTCAGGAGCAGCAGGGGMAGAGATGGTAGATACCAGAAGCGGGGATTAAATTTCAATGTCACTCTTGCTGTTGCAGGCCACAGATAAATTCAAGGTGTCTTGCATGGTACTAGAGCGTTAAGTTTAACCTCCCTCATTTCGTAAACTAGAACCTTGTTTTTCTGTTTTATTATTATTATTATTATTATTATTATTATTATTATTATTATTATTATTATTATTATTACTATTAATCCAGGATAGCCACCTTCCCTCCACCTTTTTTTCCTTTTTTTTTTCCTTCAGACACAGAAACTCTGTAAAAACAGTTCATTCATCATGTGAAAAAGGTCACATCAGAAGACATAGAAAACAATATTTGGATCAATAAGTGAAATTATACATTTATTGCGATGGGCTATTTGTTTCTTTGTCAGTTAATCACAGGCATCCTCCATGTGTTACCTTAGTTCTAGGGCTCATTAATAAAAGAAACGAAGTGAAACAACATAAGCCATGAGCTGCTGCATGGGACAGGAATGGTTTTATACTGCCCATTATTGACTGGCATCAATAACATGCATCACTGTCATTAACTGCCAAGGCCCTGGCATTTCAAGCATTTTTTGTTGAATGCAGCAATAAAAATGATTTTTAAAAACTTTTAGGAAAAAWTATTTCCTGAGCTTAATTACCAAGATTGCATTAGTCTGGCACAGGGTGGGGAACAGTGACTATTCTAATGCTGTTCAGTGGAGAAAGATGTAAGATTTATTCGGGATAGTAAGAGGCACATAAAAGATTAGCAGAAATTACCTTAACTAGAGCCTGTTAAACTGATGTGTTTGTGCCAAATCAGACCACTTCAATTGGAAAAATAACTGTCTCTCAAAGTTTGTCTTTAGCCTACCTTTCTGCCAAAAATAATGTAGAATTTTGGCTGTTATTCTTCTGGATGTTCAGCCAAAATCAATCTGAGATTGAAGAAAAGCAACTGTCTTAAATATCCACAGAAAAATATAGCAAGATGTAAAGAAAACACATGAAAGCCCCTGCTGCTATAGAGAGTGTTGTTGCCTGAAAATTCAAATGTGAGAATAAAGATTTATTTAAAAAATCAARTATTTCACAAATACTGTTTATGAAAGATCATATTCAAATGTATTAGTTCAGGTGATAAATTAAAGAATCACTATTGGATTGGAAAGACTGGGTACAAGCAGAATATAAGGTAACAGATGAATTATTACATATTACAGCTCTATAATATTTAACACAGAACTGTATGTTAACATACATATTTAACATATATTCATATTTAAGATACAGAACTGTATGTTATACAGAACCGTACATATTACAGTTCTGCATAGTCTACTATTGGTGCAGTATTTGGTGCAATTTGGTGCGTTCAAATTGGTGCCTAGAGGTTTGAACAAAAGTATTTGCAGACAAAGGAAAAAGGATTTTCTGAGCTGGAAAAGTAAAGTGAGGGAATGAGAGAGAAAAGTCAATTTAGAAATGAGTAAAGATGTTAAAGCTCAACAACATTCACGGGGCCTTGCAGAAGATCCCAGAAAAAAAAAACACACACAAAAAAAGAAAGAAGTGGATTCATCCAGTTATTATTAAGCAATAGTGAGAGACTGAGAGAACCCTTGAATCCATTTGTTTAAAAAAGACATATCTTAATTCTTTCCAAGGTCATAAATGCAGAGCAAATGAATGAAGAGACTACATCATCTCATCCTACACTTCGCTAGAAAATGGAAGGTCAGATGACAAATATACATTTTTTTTTTCTGGTTTAGAGATACGTAACCTCCCTGCAAAACTGTAGACAAAGAATGGTTCTACTACTAGATCTAATCATCTCAGCATCCAAGAGAAAAGTACTTTCAAAGACGATTACCAACTGATTTAGAAACTTACCAATGTCTATATAGAAAACTATGTCTTTCTAGGGGCACTACAGACCAATTTGCAATATTACAAATGTTGGATAGCACTAGGAATAGTACTGATCCCAAGAGACCTTCTCTGGAAATAATGTTATTCAATTATATTTTCCCATGAACAATTACTTCAGAGGATTTGTTAATTAGCATGTCTTAATCTGTTTGGTAGGTACTTCAGYGACTTTCCGTAGCTCCAGTTTCCTAAATTGCATCATTCAGTATTAAGTGAATATAAGAAATCATTAAGTACAACAGTTCATTCTGTCTGCGTGGTTATCTTGAGCAACCAAAACAGCAATGTCCTTAAAGAAGGGAGCTCTATTGACCAGATGTATGTTCCAGGTAACTGTTTTCACAGAATCACAGAATGGTTGAGGTTGGAGGGGACCTCTAGAGAASACCTAGTCCAACCGCCTTGCTCCAGCAGGGACACCTGGAGCACCSTGACGGAACATGGGCGTAGACGTTAGATTCTCCTCTAGAACAACCTCTGCTTTCCCCCAGCCTAGAGGCGGCAAGAGAGGAGAAACGTGGAGTGCAGCAAGTTTCTGAGTCCCATCAGTGAAGACACTGTTCTCCCGCCCAACACAGAGAGCAGAGACAGAGCAGGACAAAGCATGGCCAGTTCAGAGCTCCTGCGAGAGCCAAGGAGGGAAGCAAGGCTTCGGACAAGCCCTTCCTTCCTTCCTTCCTTCCTTCCTTCCTTCCTTCCTTCCTTCCTTCCTTCCTTCCTTCCTTCCTTCCTTCCTTCCTTCCTTCCTTCCTTCCTT